AAACAAGCCGCCACTTTAGGTAATGTACGGGCCACTACAGGAGCGGCCAAATTCGTCCGACTTCAACCACTTCTACTCTATTTTTTTCCCGCGGCCGATAGCTGGGCAAATTACTGGTGGTTTAACCAAGGAGAGCACTAACTCTCACGCAGACCTTTTTTTTTTTTTTTTTTTTGGGACAATTGCTCCAGTCTATTCGTGGGAAGCAGCACGTGCTGGGAACCGGGCCCAGCGTCCCACCAGAATCTTACAGCATATGAGTTACTGGGGCCACGCAGACTGAGGAGTATGAGGTAGAAGGTCTGTAGCATGGTTGTGTCTGTGCTGAAGGAATGTGGTTATACTGTGAGATGTTTATTAAACTTTATTTCCATTAGGGAAAACAACGGTGCAGTCAGGGTTTGAGTTTGAAAATGCTCTTCGGGCAACAGGCCTGAAAATGTGGAACGTATACAAGCTAGGTTTGGGGTCCGGAAGGGTCACATGGGGGGTCTGTTACGTTCGGGGGAATTCCTGAGAAGTGCATTTTTCAAACTGTTTTCGAGACCGCGCCATGGTTCCCCCTTTCAGTTATGTGCACCTAGCAACAGGACTTCTTTTGAATGAATGTGAATGCCATTGTGGTTCAGTACATCCAAGCAGATCTGAATGTCCCTATGCCTGTAGGCACATGGTGATCCCCATTGTTCACTGCTGTCCTGATTCACCATCACCCATCACTGATGCATTATTATTATTATTATTTTTGGGCACTGGAGTCATTGTGAGAGAGAGGGAAAAAAAAGAAGGGGAGTTGTTGTTGAACAGGAATTGATTCATGGGCAAAAAAAAAAAAAAAAAAAAAAAGGAATTGATTCATGGGCAGATAGCTGGTGGAAATGATGTAGAGTTTGTACTCTGTAGTAGAGTCAGTACTTTGTAGTACTTACACTACTACTACTTCGTGCTACGTCGTGCTGAACTAGCACTCAGTACTGAACACTCAGCCCTCAGTACTTTGTAGTACTCTGTACTGAGTACTTAAAAGTCAGCCCTCAGTACTCTGTAGTATTCAGTACTGAAAACTCAGTACTCAGTAGTACTTTGTAGTACTAAGTATGTAGGAGTTCTGAACTCAGTACTCAGTAGTACTTTGTAGTCCTAAGTATATAGGAGTTCTGAGCTCAGTACTTTGTAGTACTTAGTGCTGGACTCTGTACTTCGTAGTACTTAGTACTGGACTCTGTACTTTGTAGTACTAACTATGGGGGAGTTTCAAATGGATAGGAACTTACACTGAGGCCATATTTCGCTCTGATTTCGCATCGGAGCAGACTTGTGCAGGCAGGGACAAGATACGGACAACACAAGAAGAGATGGTCCATGCAGGACAACAAGGGCGCAAGCATGGGGGAGTTGAAATGGATTAGGAACTTACACTGAGGCCGTATTTCACTCTAATTTGGTATCGGAACGCACGTGTCAAGGCAGGGACATAACATGGGCAACACAAGAGATGGCCCATGCAGAGCAACAATGGCCTCCAAAAAGAGCCCGCTCCTATCATCTCTGCATTCTGTTTCACCGACACAACATTTGCAACCCC